GATTTAACTTGAGTGATTTTATTTGTGTCTGTTCAGTTGCCATGTCATTGCTCTGAACCACACCTTTAAATGTGGCAGAAAGGCTTGGCAGTATTTTGTTGTGAAAAAGGATCAAATGAAAAAGAATATTGATTTGTTAGACTACTAGGGTGTGTTTTTGAGTGCTCATAAGCTTTGGAGCTAGAAGTGTTTTTAATGGTCTCGCCCATTGATAATGCTCTTAAGTGACTGCCCTCTCTCTTTCTCTGTTGTTGTTTGCGAGATGAAATACTGTCACTATTATAGTATTCTTGTAAACATCAAAATGCTCTTTCTCTTCAAAACTGTATCTGGTGATTTGCAGTTGATGTTATTAACTAATTCCAATTAAAGTAAATTCATGAATTGGTTGTCCTTGCTTCTTTTGCTATGTCCTTGTAAACATTCTGAACTGGGAGAAAATAAATCTGAATATTCAGTCCATGCAAAGCACATCACACAAGTTTTCTTTTCCACAGCGTTTGCTATATTAACTGTTGCCATATCTCTGCCTTTGGCTGCGAATTGGACTTAAAACAAAATAAGTACAGACTTTCTGGCCTCAAATCTTTGAATTTGCACAGAGACGCACACACTCCTCCCTGTCATGATTTTTTAAACTCCACGTGTTATTTTCTACGACTGTATATTTTAATAGGACTTTGCATTAATGCAAATATCAGTTAACAAATTGGCACTTCCTCTTGTGTCAGCTGTAACCTGTTTATTTAGTACAGAAGGGAAACGGGTTTTTATTTTGTAATGAATATCTTGACGGACCATTTTGGAAATTCGAAGACTGAAACTAAAGAACAAAGAAGGCCATTCAAATGTTTGTTGTTTAAAAATGAGACCCACAGAACAGTCATCCCGCACTCCTACGCCCTCTGCTGAAATGCATTGCAGTATTTTTCTTAAAAATGCTTCGTCATCTGTAAAATTGGCAGCAGACACGGGCTCATTAAGAGAAGATTTCCCAATAAAAATCACACTTCAGCCTTTCAATAAAGGGGTTATCAGGAACCTCGCGATTTTCTACAAGCAATAAGACATCTAAACGTCTTAAAAGGTCACAATATTTTAACGTTTTTTTCCCCTTCTGTTTTAAATGCTATGCCTCTGTTGTACTAATGTCATTGATACAACTAGACAAACTATTTGGAATTTTGTCTTGGATTTTCAATTTCAGTGGATTAAAGAAATTGTATGCTATTGCATATTGCACTTACATGCCACATTACTGCATACTGTATACAGTATGTACATATATTCGGTCTACGTGTGCAATCCATGTTAAATCCAAAACTGCATGATAAGGTCTGAGAGATACATTGATCGATAAAGAGGGACACTCGTTTATAGGCACTTTTGCACATAATGACAGAAAAACGTTGTTTGAGAGTGCCTCCAGTGGCCGCATCTGGGAACTGCAGAAGTGTTTAAGAAACATCTCTCGTTATATCAGACAGGGTCGATTTACAGTATACTGATACTGTCGAAGATTTGAATGTTCACACGATTGTGTTTTAATAAAGAAAATTAATGACACGTGCTCATTTTGGTAATTTTTCTAAACAAAAAAGTCAAAACTTCACCTTTAACGAAACCACAGTCTTGGCACCTCACACTTCCTTTTAAAAAACACGAAAGTGATGGAAACTCACCACAGATCTGCAGGTGTAAGTCAGCTGTTACGTGCCCCCTTCCTTCAGAATTCGGCAAGGTAGAATACAGTAACCCTTTGAGGTGTAAACATCCTAAGGTAAGGCGTAGATTGGCATTAAAAAGTTTAGGATTCTTTTCTTTTCGCGCATTTTAACAGTGAGCGAGCTTCTCGCAGACCTGCTCCCCTGCAGCCTGGGTCTCACCTGCAGCCAGTGTTCACAGAGCTGACTGATGGCTGCTGTGAACTTCCTATCCTTAGTAATGACAAAGCTCACCTCTGGAACAGGTAAAGATGTATTCCATGCTGAAAGTGATGCTACATCTGTAGAAGGCTCCACAGCCGAAAGGTTTGTGTCTCTTTTGTTTTCCTTTCAACGTGGAATAAACCTTTACCTGTTCCTTTGCAGCTTACGCCTGCTGATGCAGCTCCCTGCTCAGAAAGCTCACCATTGCCAGGTTCGGTCCTTTAATGCTCGGATGTTAAAAACAGCACTTTGCTGTGATGTTGGCTTCGTCATGTCTTTTGAGAGCCACATGATTTTCTAAGAGTGTGCATTGTGTGTTTAAATGCCTTTTAACTAAGTGAATGTCTTTTAGTGCAAAATAACATGTAACATGTAAGTTAGTGTAACAATTTGAAGTAGAAGCATATAATACCGCTTGAAGAAAAAAATAATTAAATTGCTGTGCTTGTGGTTATTACTATGTGAAATATATATAAGTCCATCTAGGCACAACAGATCTTTGTGAACAGTTCTGCAACTCAAAAACTGTGAGAGTGTCATAATGCTTTGCTATAGTCTACAATCAGGTTATAAAGTTGAAAATGTTTCTTAATTTAATTGCGTCTATATGACACGCTGAGCCTGAAATAGGACAATGATACCAAGTATTAGGCAAATTGTGTGAGGCTTGATTGAGGCTGAAGTACAATGGTCCACTTTTCGTTGTCCAAAAAAATGAGGATTTATTTCAAGGGAAGTGGTCAGATTAGCGAAAAGTAATCACAGATGATTGCTTAATTCTGTCTGTTTTATGACTCAATATTTGGTGCTGTGCTCTGTTTTCTTTTGAAATCTTTTGCCATGGCATCTTTAATAACCAGCTGATCAGGACCTCAGTTTAATATCTGATCCACTTCCAGGGACATCAGAAAGGTTACAAACCAGAGGCAGCCATTAGTGGGTTAGACAGCCAGTCACTCCAATGAGGAGTTGGAGGACATTGCAATAAAGACCTAATTAAGACCCGGAAAACAGCTGCCTTCTTGTCTCCTTAATTAGTTCAGTCAAGCTTGTAGTAAATGTGATGCTTGCAGACTAAAAGCTGGCTACCTCTCCTGTGTCATGTATTGATCTGATTGAACTGGGAATACTCCCCCCTCAGAAACATGACACCCCCACAAAAAAACTCACCCCTGCCCCAACCCCCGCCCCCAGAGGAAAAGGGATAGTTCAGAGGCGCGAATGACGCTTAACCTGCATGGCTTTGGGAAGTGGAAAGAAACCAGAGTGCCTGGAAAACTCACATGGAGCGCCGTGGAAAACAGGCCATCTTCACTGAAGGAGGGCTCCAGTGAGGAGCAGCAGTCAAGGTTCGGCACTTATAACTGGAAGGCTGGGGGGGTCAAATCCCAGGTGAGGCCCTGCTGTTGTGTCCCTGAACAAGGCACTACACCTGAATCGCTCCAGTAAAATTCCCAGCTGCACAGATGATTGCGGACGTACAGTAAGCTGCTTTGACTGAAAGCCAGCCCAGTAGTAATAGTAACCAATGTGTTGGGAATCCAACCCCAGCAGGGTCTGGAGCTGGGCAGCAGTAGTGCTGACCACTAGTCCACTGTGCTGCTCTGACCCGAGATGAGAGGTTTGGAGAGGGAGGAGCCGAAGAGAGACCTGAAGGGCAAGCGCTCACGTGATCTTTGCAGTGTTCAATTCTGAAGGACTGTCTGTTCAAAGGTTTTTGTTCTGCCTCTGCATTATCAAGATGAGTCTGTGTAAAAACACCAAGGTTTCTGTACACCTACGCCGACTGCCTCTGTGGTGAACTGCGTCTTGTACAGGGCTTGGGAACATTGTTCCATTTTCTTCTTCACTGTTAAGCAATGCTTTTGTCCACAAGGGTATTGTAGAGAGAAAAGAAAAGACAGATCCTAGTCTTGGGAAGGTCACAATTGCTTTTAAAAAACACCTTTAACGCCTGTCCATTGGCTGATTAGAGAAAAGTTTGTAAAACATACATGCACAGGTTCTACTTTTACCTGAGCAAAAATTATTTGCAGTGTTCTTGTAGAGCAGCAAGTGACTTTTCATTGCTTCTTTTATCCAGCATGAGATTCCAGTGACATTTTTCTCTTCTTAATTTTAATATGAATATTTGGTGCTGTGCTGTCTTTTGAAGTCTTTTGCCATTGGATCTTTCATAACGAGCTGGTCAGGACCTCAGTTTAATATCTCATCCTACAGCGGGTACCTCTTTCAGAGACCTTGGAAAGGTTAAAAACTGGAGATGGCCATTAAAATAAGTCTTCTGCTCTTAAGATATTTCCTACAAAATATATCTTTATAAAATGTATTTAGCTTGTGTCCAATACTTTCCTTTTAAAAGGAAAAATCAGCTGTGCTATTAATCAGTTCACCAGAAGCTGTGTTGGACTCATGTCACAATGTTACAGTCCTCTTTGTGGTAAAATACAGCAATGATAATCAACATCGCTAATGTCATTGTTTCACTGCAACAATGAAAAATACTCTGGTCACTAGACTGATTTGTTTGATCAACTCCTCCTGGCATCTGTGCAGCAGTAGTTTTCAGCAGGAAGGCTCAGGAAATTGAAGGCACATTGGAATGTAAAAAAGCTGAGCTGATTTTGGTATTTGCTATGAGGAGTGAGTGAGGTGGATTAGGACAAGAGCTGATCCCAGCGAATGTACACTCACAGTCAGATGTGCAGCTGATTAGGTCTGTTTTCTGGTTTTGTACTTAGGGATGAGTGGATAAGTGGTAAGAAGGGTCAAGAAGGACAACAACATCAACATTTTAATGATAAAAACAAATTAAAAGGCACCATTTTTCTGCTGCTTGGGAGGGCCGTGTTTCAGAGCAAAACTGGTGTAGGGCTAGAATGCTGCAGGAGGGGTGACATCCAGGTTCAGCTCATTTGGACAGGCTGTAATCTCTGGAGAACCAGACAGAACTTGTCTCTGTTGCACAGTAGGCCGGATATGACCCCGCGGTCGTGCCCGGCCGCCGTGTGCGTAACCAGCTGCTCCAGCGCTCTGTGGGCTCGGTAACGGCGGGGTTGTGTGTCTGTGCAGGATGGCAGCGGCAGCCTGCGGCGCAGCGGCTCGCTGGGGAAGCTGAGAGACGTGCTGCGGCGCAGCAGCGAGATGCTGGTGAAGAAGCTGCAGGGGAACGTGCCCCCCGAGCCGCGCAACACAAAGTAAGACCGCACGGAGACGCCCCCCCCACCGCCGCCGGCCACCGCCGCTGGGGAAATTCACGCCGGTCCTCCACGCAGCAGCCAGTTTCCATGCTATCTGGGAGAGCCTGCTGCTTTTCACATACTCCCCAGGGCCACGGAGGTTACCAGCACCACCTCCATCTTCAGACAGGGGTCTGGAAGCCAGAAAGCGCTGCTACTGTCTGCAGTTTTGGCCAGGTGTCACAGACAGCGACCTACAACCTATCTGACTCAGGCCGTCAGCAGAGAGAGAAAGAAAGGAGTTCATCTGCCATGTGTACACGCACATCGGGAGTCTCATTCATGTCATTCTCCTGGGACGTTTACGGCACAATAGACAACACAACACAGAACAGCAAATAATGGGCTGCTGATTTCTAAGGACAGTAAAACTGTTACCACAAAGGAGGGTTTCTGTCTTGTTTCTGAATCAGTTCCAGTGATTTATTTTAGAAATTGAAAAAGGTTTCATCATTACCCCCCTAAAAGAATATGGTTTTAGTATTATTGACCTTCTGGAAAATATGCCTCAATAAAACACTATTAATAAAACAGAGCATGAACTACACCCACTGGTGCAACGTACATAATACGATATCCAGGCTCCATCAAGCTACACTAGTGGTCTGTTCCGAAAATAAACTGCAGCTCTCTGATAATCTGTCTTTTTTTTTGTCTCATTTCAATTGTTCACCAGTATGAAGCGTGCTTCCTCGCTAAACTACTTGAATAAGACGAGTGACGACTCCTTCCAGGTGAGAACCGGCTGCAGAGGGAGTTTTTGTTGGTTTCTTCCTTCCAGTGGATCCGGTCTCTACCCCTTTCCAGAGCCTCCCAAGCCCACTCTGACATGTCTGGACGGCAGTGTTCAGCATTCTGTGCCACTGTTAGTTTTAGTCATGTGAGAGAAATTAGAGATGTCTAACACAAAGACAGTTGTTGTTCCTCAGCTAATAGTGCAGAAGCTAACAAACCAATAGGGAGTGGGCTTTTCCACTAGTGTTCAGTGGTTCTTGTGGAAGTCGCTTCTGTCTTCTCAGTTCTTCCTGCAAGCAGAAAAAAATAATCTTCCAGCTACGTCTGATTATTACTGACTATTCTGTAAGGGCGGGCTCTTTATAAGCTGAAGACATGCACAGATTACCCACTTTGTTTCAGCGTCGATGCATTTAATTTAGTTCTTAGTTTACTTTTCCATTACGTCTGGGGGCGTCGAGCAGCTTAGAAGTGAAAAGCTTTCAGGGGATGAGTATGAAGATGTTGAACTTCATTCCGTGCCGTCTGAGCGCAGACAACGAAGGAACAGGCAAAGCCTGAGAGGATTTGGCTCTGGAGGCAAGAGCTGTCGTAAGTCCCATTCAGCGTAGTAATCGGATACCTCCTGTATGTCACAGAGCAGCTCACCCTCCGTCATTGTGGCGCTGGCGCTTTCAGTGAACCTTAATATCCAGTTTGTGGCTTCACCTTGTCTCCCTTTTGTCACAGGGCCCTGGCGGTGGGCGACTGGGGGAGAGCCGGGGTTTGAGCTCCAGCACAGTGGACCTCTCACACCGGGACCCCCTGTTCAGCTCCAGCTGAGACCCCGCAGTCACCCCGACGCACCCCACTCGGTTGATACCCGCCGAGCTTTTTGCTTTTGTCTGATATGGTGCGCGCAGGTGCCACAGCTTTGTGAATTTGTTTGGGTGCGCTCTTGTTTCCCATCAGTTTGGTTTGGAAGGAGAGGGGAGCTCCCATCTTCACTCCATAGCCCCATTAATCTTCCTCTTCCTCCTCAGTTGTGAACTGTTTCCTCTAGTGCTTATTTATTCTCATCAAACACTGGAAATGATCTCTGGCAAATGCATGCAGATGAGGCTTTCTGGTACAACAGCTGGACGTTTCTTGACACAAAATGTATTTTCAGTATCAACAGTACATAAAAACTAATAAAGAGAGGAGACAAAAAGAAATGCTCTCTGGATTCAGCATTGCAGAAATGACTGGAACAGGACACAAAGGGTCTTGGCTTACTGGTAGTGCATGCAGAGAGGTCAACAGATTTGAGGGGTTAAGCGATGCTCTAGGGACAGCAATGCACATGAAGAAAACATTTTGTATTTAGTAATGTCACTGAAGAATCCAGCACAACCTGTTGATTTACATTTGTAAAGCAAGACCTCATCTAATACTTTGGAAAGTATTTTGTGGTTAATTTCTGGATTATTCACGGTCTTGAACTTTGCATTCCTGTTCATTCTGCCTTTGGGTTCTTCTTGTACAGCTCTTTATTTAGTTTTTACCCACATAGTTTAGTACTATTGTCATGATGCTTTAATAGCCTTCTAAGCAATTTTGTACCGGTTCAAACTTTTATTTTGGTGGGAATTTTTCCTTATTTTCCTGATTTTATTTGGGTGCATCTGAACTTTGTTGGAAAGTAGTCCTGTTAGTTACAATACTAGGTTTATGGAACTTAGATGTAAAAACATTATTATTATTTTTTATCCTGTGCCTAATTTTAAAAACAATGCATTTGATTCATCTAATTGAAAGAAAGTGCAAGACGTGGACACAGCATGTTTTAATGGTATTTTGACAAGTGTACAGTATGTACACATATCTGTCAGATGAGTACAACATGTTTTTAAAAATGTTAATACCAAACTGTGCCAGGTGATCTGAAACTTGTTTAGTTTCTAAAGCTTGTATTCTCAGGTACTGAAATTTTCCTTTGATATTTTATGGGCGTCAGCTCACAAAGAACAAGAGTGCAATGTTGCAGAGCCATATTCCTGCAGGAATAAGCGTCTTAGGTTTAACAATGGTGGTCTTTAAATAGCCTGTACGAGGTCTGTTCAATAGACAAGGCTCCAGGCACATAGGAAAGATTTTGTTTTCAGTGGAAAATCGCCCATGCCTGTGTCTAAGCTTTTTTCAGATCCAACCAGTGTCAATGACCCAGAAAAGGATATTGAGCATAGTAATGATATTCTCAACTCAGCGGCACATAGGAGGCTTGATCAAGTGTTGATTTTAATATATCTTTTTTATGGAAGAGGATGGTTTTTAAGGCATTTTGTTTTAATTGGGAAAAATCAGGCTGTTCCTTATGCCAGTATAGAATGCCATGTGATAAATGAACATGCAAACACATTTGCCTTGTGAAATAGTTTCAAAGTGAAATACTATCACTCAGTGGCTGTGGTCCACATAGAAATCCAGTTTGGATCACGTTTGGATCTTAGGGGACACTTGATTTTAGCTGAAAATTGGAAGATGCATTGCATCACAGGATGAAATATGACACAACATTTTCACATGGTTCACATCTACAGGAATCGCATGGTGTGACTGTTTGCTGTAATAAATACTTTCCTGATGAGGCTGACATTTCTGCTGCATTCTATAGCTGTGACGGCAGTAACATCACCTGATAAAAGAAACGCATTTGTCCTGGAAATGTGATTTTACGGGCCAGCATTTTGTGTAACCTGTAATTACAATTTCTTTGTTTGATTATATATTTATTTGCATCTACATTGTTGTATGATGTATGTTGTAAAATACACTATCAAGGTAACTGGAAACTCATGGAAACATTAAACTCCTAAACCATTTGTATATGTGGTTTATAAATGTAATAAAGCCAGATGTTTAGCTCACACTATCCCCTCTCATATTAATAACTCTAAAATATTACAAATAACTGGATGCTATTTATTTGATTGCTAGTAGCTAATTGATCTCATCCTGCTGTTTCTTGGAAGGAAGTCAGGGTATGTGATCAGAAACATGGCTGGGTAGCTTGTTCTAAAAATTCATATTCTGAATATGAACACATGCCTTGTAGGGGGATTGATGTCACTAAGCAGATCAGATCTTTGTTTTTCAGTTTCCAGTACGATTGGATATGGATATGGAGAATCGTACAGCATTACAAATAATTTCTCCTGAGTGGCCTGTATTAGCAAGGGCAGGGAAATTCTGTTCTTTGGCAGGGTCTTGGTAATCAATTTTAGATTTTTCACGTTTCTTGTTTGCGTGTGGCCTGGACGGTACCATCTACACTGCACAAGAGAGCCACGTACTATAGAAGTCTCTGTTTTAAAAAAAACGTTTCCGCCTCTGCGTTGTTGATTGATGGAGTTAGCTTTTGGCTTTGTGGCACCATACAGTGTGTCCCTGTCCTCTTCCTTGTCTGTCCATCTGCTGTGGTTTGTCAGACAGCGAATGTGACACTATGGAACGGGGAAGTCTGTCTTCCTTAGGAAATCAAAGACAAACCTACTACATAGTTCGTGGAGTGGCCTGATACTAATCTTTAATACTGCAATGTTATAGAGACACAAAGGAACAAAGAGGGCTTTTGCGTTTTGAAACATTCAGTGCAAATGTATATTCAGAACTGCTTCTGCTTCAAGAAAATGCCCTTCTTTATTGTCCACATTTTAACGTGATTATGAGGTGTACATTCATCTTGTATCTGTTAAATTACAGTAAGGGAGAGATTGAACTGTTTATGGAGAATAGATGTTTTCCAGGGTTTATATGCCATTAGTAGAGAGGTTGTGGGCACCAGTTACAGAATCCTTGATGCCCAGATGCGTACATAATGATAAGTACATCTGTCTAGTTCAAGCTGGGCTGTTCCCGATCCTGCTAGACTTCAAACTTCCATGTCTGAACATGCACAAGATTCAGGGAAAAAAAAGTACCACTTTGTAACACAGCTGGTAGGCTCAACTTATCCTCAAGACCGCTGAAGGCTTGAATAAAGTCATGCACAGCCAAATTATGCTTGTGAAGTGATGTTAGTAAAGTGTGCCAACATGTTAAACTTTTTAGAAATATGATTGCCAGTTAGATCATCCCTGATTTTGCCAATGTTGTGAACGCACAGTGTCCACTGCAGGACCCACAGTTTTGTTTATTGGTGTTCCGTTTAAGTGTAACTTTAACGTTGTGTCATTTATTCTATTGAACAAGCAAACATTACTGTTGCATAAAGGTAATCTACATGGGTGTGTTTCTAGCAGGATTTGTGATGTGAATTTATAACTCTTAATGTATGTATATATTTAATAATTGGATAATTCTAGCATATTTCTTATCTAAGAAACAGACACTGCTTGCACAGTGCATGAAACTGAACAATCTATAAAATGTACAAATTGTTTATTGCCATTATTACTTCACACCCAGAAGTGGGTTATTTGTAATTGTTGAAAAACGTCATGATAAAATTTCAAAATGCTCTGTCATTTTATGTTGTTGATACAGCAAATCAAAATAAAATCTTAATTTTTACTGTTATTTTTTTTTCTTCTGAGAGCGGTACGGACATTTTGGGCTTGAACAGCAATTAGAAATTGTCTTTCAATGAGCATGTTAGATGTGTCTCGCAGCAATGAGCATGGTTACAACATGGGTTGTGTTCATTTTCGCGGCTGTGATCAACAGATATGTTCATGGTTGTTAACTGGGGGAAAAAAAAGATGAAAAGGAAATGATTTTTTTTCACATGGCATGCTATTTTGCTTCTATTATGTTGTAGAATAATTCTGTGATGTTTTTTCCAAATTTCAATTTGTTGATCCTCAGGTTCAAAGTTGTATGCTTCCATTGTAAAAGTAGATTTTATATGATTAAAGCTCTTTTATAATGTGCTTTTGTTTTCTCCACGATAATGAAAGATTTTCCTGTGCCATTTGTGTTTTATTTTCGCCTAAATAAATTATAAACCTCCTGTCTCCATCTCATTGTCTTTTGATATTCCATTGCCCTCAAAATGAAGAAGACATGCACACTGGTGGCTGCTAATCATTGAACAGTCTTATCACCAGGCTGATCCTTGCCTGAGGACTCTCGTTATTTTATTGCTTACTGCTATAACCAATTGCTAAAGAAGTGCAGATATTTAGTTTTAAAATTAAAGTAGTTTTAGATATCATTTGGGACCAGTTCTAATTATCCTTCTCACCTCGAGTAGCAGGGTTCTCTTAATTAAACAGTTAACTTGATTAAATAATCAATAACCCTCAAGTGTTGTCGATCAGTAGTCACAGGTCACCTCTAAGACTAACTGGATCAGGGCTCTTGAGGATAAGGGTTGGTTTTTTAGACACTGGTCAAAAGCATGCTGAGATTGTATATTATATTTTTTGTGTGTGCAAAAGTGAATGAGTACCCATCAATAACGACAACAAGAGAGAAAAGGTGGGAAGCATATACCATTATACCCTGTCCTCACTTCTTCAATAACATTTAGACCTTTTTCTATGGATGGTCACCCTGTTCACATTAGTATGCTGTTTTCTGCCCCTATTTTGGTGGAGTGTAGTTTTGGCAAAGCAAACAAAGAACAGGATTCTCAAACATTCATGGATTTAAGCTCTTGAGCACTTCCATTCACCTTAACATAAGTCTTGAACTACCATAAGATAATGTGGAGTTCCTATGTTTTGATATGAGCTGCGGCATGGTCATTGTGACCAAGGTGGAGACACCTGGTTTGTGGGGCGAGAGAATCACATTTTTGAGGTCTAAAGGTGTAGGACTTCATTGATGTGGAACTGTTTTCTGTGTCTCCACACATCACCATGTCTTCATGTCTAACCACCTTCGCTAGTGAAGGTAATATTGTTTGCAACAAAGTGTACACCAGCCAGTGCCTAACCAGACATTTTAACTGTGCTTGATATAAACCTGCAAGAAGAGAAACTAAAGAAAAGATGAGCACATTGTCACCAGGAGGCCAGGGGAGACAATGGGAGACTAATTCATTTTTTGTGTGGGAGAGCCTGAGATGTAGCAATTTGTAAATGGAAAGATTAAAGAGATTAGTCGGCTGTTTCGAGTGCTGGGGGGATGTGCGAATCATTCATAGGGTACGTTGGCATCTGCTATCCATACAGTTAGTTTGGGTGGCATATCTTGAGAATCCTGTGGGGTCTCCATTGGGGCTCCAGGCAGGAGCCCAGGTCACCATCACATCGACAACTATTAATGTTTGTTTCATTAACAACGGTTTCTAAGATTGCCCTTTGACGCAACAAATCACGGTCAGGCACCAACGTGAGAACTCTGCTGTTCTCAATGTTGTAATAATAATAATAATAAAACAATAAAATTATTTCTTACGCTTATATAGCTCTTTTCTGGACACTCCACTCAAAGTGCTATTTACATGTAATTGTGCTGTTGTAGTCTCTCTTAAACTCTACAACATTTGGAAAACCAAAATCCGATTCCCTTTAAGCGTAAAAGCACAGTACACGAGAACCCTATGAAATTCTGCTTTCACTTATGTGATCAACACATTAATGCCTGGCCCGTTCATGCCGGGGACAAAGTGAAGAGTGTGCCTTCCCTCAGGATAATGGGCTGAGAGTTGAAGCAGGTAAACCTACATTCTGATGTCTGATATCCCATTCATGGGATACTTAAAGGTTTTGCTTCTTAAACTATTTTTCTCCTTCCTGATTCTTTACATTATATATATAATTACTTCTTCGTAATTGCAAAGTTACATTTGTACGGCACATTTTATGTCTAGAGAGAAAAATAAAGTATTCAAACTGATAACTATTTGGTTGTTCTGACATACACAGTTCTGCCCTAAATACACTGTGTAATGCCTCATCACTGCATCTCAGTGCAATACATTTGTATGTATAGTGTGCAATATGACTTTTTTGTGTACTGTTCTGTTCTGGTTTGTTCTTTGTGTGTTCTGGACTGTGAGTAACTCTTCTTAGTGCACTTCTCACTGTACTGATTGTATTGTATTATTATTATTGTATCATTTGTAACACTGTTGCTGTTTTGTCTGTGTTAAGCTGCTGTTGCACTGTAATTTCCCTCACGGGATCAATAAAGTATCTATTTAAAACAGCACCCATCAGAAAACAGATGACATAAAATAATAAGAACTTTAAGACAGGGTTCTGTCGTAAACTCAGAAAGCCCCTGAAACACAGTAGGTGGTTTTGTTTCTTTTGCAATAATGAACATTGTGAGAACACAGGCAATTGGAGAACTCTTTTTTTATCAGTCTGATGTTGTCTGTGTTCTTTGTGTTGAAGTGCACTTGAGGCATGTGAAAGAGGGAAGTGGGTGGAATCTAGTTTCAAAAGGTGACGCCAGTGGAGAAAAAAACATTCTCTTTGGAGAGTAGGATGCAGGGCAGAATGCAGGAGGATGGCGTTGTAAGCATATACACCTGTCTCAAACTGCTGAGTCATGTTTGTCACTGGTTCACAATACCTGAACCAGGTGAGAGGTGACTGATGCCTGTTGTCTCAGCCCTTTCAATATGTTTAAAAAAAGCAACAGACAACAGCTATTATAATTCCAGAACCGACTGGAACATTCAATAGTTTCACCACCACCCGTCTAGAGTTTCCTCACGTGACATGGGGCTGTGTGACTGAAGGAGGGAGCGACACCTGTATATTAAGGAGCTGCCTGCGCTCTGGAGAAGCACAGAGACACTGAAATCTCCGAAATCAGACATGAACAAGCTCTCACTGGTCGCAGTAGCGCTGCTGGCCCTGGTGGCCCTTCACCTGGGCACGAGCGAGGCCAAAGTCTTCCAGAAGTGCGAGCTGGCCTCCATCCTGCTGCCCGAGCTGCAGTCCAACCAGACTCAGCTCAATCACACCGAGGCTGTGGCGCTGCTCGCCAAAGGTCAGGATCGGGCGTCTTTGCAAATCTGTGAATATGGCCTTGGACACTGTGTCTGCTTTCCTGGGGGAGGGGGGGTTGTTGGGTTGTTTTTCTGTAGTTATGTCTTGTTTGGGGGTTTTTTTGTCACAGTGACAAATCTTCCTAGCTTTTATGAAAAACACCTGTGGAGAAGTGAAAGATGCAAGGTTATTTCACGGAGAAAAAAATCATTTGAAATTGATGAGAAGTGCGTGATAAATAGACATCATGTTTGAGGCAAAGACACCGCAGTCAAATCTCTCATGAACCACAGAGTCATGATCTGCGGGAGAACTGAATAATCATTTATTTAACTGGTTATTATTATTCACCTGGCTCCTATTGACCTGTTTTTCTAGGTGTCCAGCAGTTGAATGCTTAAAGATATGTATATAACTAACTTTCTTGTCAGACAGTGAATCTGCAGAAGATGTCTGCTTTATACTGTATATTATTACAGATTCTTTTTCTTGTTGTCGTTTAACCCTCTACTCGCCACTGTGTTTTGCAACCCTCTTTTCTCTGTTGTTAGTGGAAACCTGTGAGTCTGCTCTCGCTTCTCTGAGCTGGGCTGTGTGCAGGACGACAGTGGCTTTCTTTCTTTTGTCTTTCTAAGAGCCATGACCCACAAAGGGCAATTCACTAGTTCCGAGATTCCCAGCTGCCCTGTTTAAACACTAGTTTGGAAAAATACACTTAGTTTGACTCTGAACAAATAGGCGCCCATAAGCAGCTGTAAGGACTCAGCACTGGGGAGATCAGAAGATGTTGAACTGGAAGAATGCAGGCTTTGTAAAACCAAATAATCCAGTTTTAGGCTTTCCTGACCGAACCTGATGCAACTGCTGGTGTGATATTGAGAATTTATAGCCTGTCCAGCTCTTGCATATAATTGCCACTGCTAACTTGTGACATTTTTAAATCTGTGCTCTTACCGATTTACTGATCGATCTAAAAATGACCGATTCGCCTCCCTCCTTTTCTCCACAGTGATTTGCCACCTGAATGAAACTACCCAGCTGAACAGCAGCGCTATCACCCCAGTGAGGCCTCAGGCTCCCCCTCCACCTCCACCTCCTCCTCACCGCAGAGGCAGGAGCCTCAAGAAAGGGAACTCCCATTCCCACAGCGCCGAGGAGCAGAAGCCTGTCCCGGCCAAAGCGCTGCTCCGCCTGGGACTCTTCCAGCTCCTCAACGTGGTCGTCTGCGAAGACGGGATGAACTTGTGCAAGATGAACTGCAGCAGTAAGTTGCTTGCCCCTGTTTTCAGGTGTCAAGTGGAGGAGAGCTTAGGGGCACTGCACCCACTACCAGAGGTTCACAGGCCTTAAGCCCCCAGTGTGGTAAGCTGCCATGTATGTCCATGGCGACTGATGTAGTAATTTGGAAAAGGACTGTGGGAAGACTGAAAGGACGTTTGAGTTGAGTTGTTGTTTGCACATGTTGTTAGAAAAAAAGGCTAGTAATTGAGAGATTTTCATTGAAGGTGCAAAAAAACACTGTGTCAATGTCATCTTTATGTTGGAGGCTACTGGTGTATTCACATAGAACTGCTCAGAAAATATAAGTCATAGTAATAATAATCATTTCTTCTTTTGTTTCTCACAAGAATTGATTGATGATGATATCACTGACGACATCCAGTGTGTGAAGAAGTTGTTCATGTCTGACGAGTGAGTATTTTCAGCTAGATGTTACACCGTGTAGAAGCTCAAGGGGGATGAGTGAGTCGAACAACTGGCACAGGATGCAGATGTTTAAGATCGATTTCACTGACTGGAATGAAGTGACTATCTTCCCTCTGCTTGCATGATAATGATACCCTTTGCAATCCAATTTTTGAGAATTTTCTAAAGCTGTGTTTCACGGACATGGTCAAAAAAACAACTCCAAACCAAAGTTGGCATTTAAAGATGATATCCTTAAATGGAAAACTTTTATTAATGAATTTGACAAGCTACCATTTCAATTAATTATTTTTTAACTTCTCTTAATTAAGATTGAGCTCATATTTTACTTAGAAATCTGAGGAACTATGATACATGTACTAAACCTGTTGAGAAATTTTTAATTCATTGCATTTATGTAGTATCCCAACATGTTTCACATGGGGGGGGTCTACTTTATCCACCATTGAAGTGCAGCCCCACGCTGGAAGAAATGGCTTCACTGTTAGAATTAAGGGGGGAATCATTTATCCAGGACCCCAGGGTTAACACTTCTATTCTGATGAAAAGTGCAGCTGGATCTTGAATCTCAAGATGTCAGCTTGATGTCTCATTGAAGGCACTTCATCTCCTACAGCACACAGTCCCCAGTCACCATACTGGAGAGTTGGTCTGGACGTTCTTGTCCATAGGAAGAGTGCCACCTACTGGTCCACCAACAGAACTAATTTCCATAGAAATCTCTCATCCAAGTACTGACCAGGCCCAACCGTGCCTAGCTTCTAACATCTGAATTACAAGATGGTAAAGCAGCTTGTTTACAACCTTTTTTTAAGGTTGCCCTTTGATGCAGTAATTGTTTAACTTTAAACTCATTTTTTCACTGAGTTTGGTGAGTGTGCTGTTCCTTTCCTGTATTCTCTACTGTCTTGAAATTCGGATTCATACTAAGGACAGCTAAGCTTATTCATGTTCTGTATAATCCAATAAAGATATGTATTTATATGTATTTATTCATAATATTTTAATTCAAATTGGTTTGATTTCTTTTTTCATTTTTCAGGAGTGGTGAAGATGACTACAGACGCCATCATAAGCACATTTTTGACTCACAGTGCTTTTCTTCAGACCTGTCTTCCTATTTGTCTGCTTGCTCACTGTGAAGTGCCAGCCTCCTAACCACAGCTTACAGCTTTCACCTTTCACCTTTCACCTTTCACCTCTCCTCTGCCTTCCTAGAGAGCAGTTCTCTAACGAGCCTGTGACCAGAACAATTGCTGGGCCATGTGCAGATTAGCACCTGGGCTTGGGGGAAGTGATTTTTGCTTTCAGATTTAAGAAAACACATTTTTAAATTTGTTTTTTTTTTAATAATTTTAAAAATTTCAGTGTTGTGATGGTGGTGAAGAAAGCAACAAATGTAGAAATGTCAATATTACAACATATTCTTCCTACATCAATTGAGCAGAATCATCATAGGAACTGTGCAGTTGTTCCTAAAGGTAAAAGCAAATAATGGCATATGGCATTCTAAGTTAGAAAGAAAAATGGAAGCAAGCAAGTTTTCGAACATAACCTAACTGGGGGGCTGGTGTTGGGACTGAATTAACTTCTACTGTGCCTTTATATATTGTATCTTATTCTGCTGGTTCAAACAGTTTATTTTACTTTTGTCTACCACATTTATTTACTTCCTTTAATAAAGACTCAAGTTTTAAAAAAAATCCTGTGGTTTTGTTTATTTATTTTTCATGATAAGTACTAATAAGCTTCTTCGAGGCTTGAGCTCTCTCAGTTGTCAAGCGGTTTATGGTGACCCCGGAAGATTGATCAATAACTTACGGTTGTGAGCTCTCTGAATTGTAAGCAGACAGACAATGGTGCTCTAGAGGTACATCTGCACATATGATGTGACATTTGACGATTCACAAAGATGGTCCGGTTGTTGGGACTGTGCAAGGTGACACGAGATGTGAACCCTTTTCTCAAAGGGAGTTCATCTCACTTGAGATGGTAATGGTGAGGGAAGAGTCTCCCATGGGTGCTGGAGAGGATGGGATTCAGCTATGCTCTAATGTGGACCCTATAAATGTAATAGGTGTGGTGGGAAGAGCTGCAGACTCGCAGCTCTTGGGTTCTGGGTTCGATTCCAGGTTGCTGTGTGAAGCTGGCAGATTCTCCCCCTTTTCTGTGTGAGGGGATCTCTGGGTGCTGCAGTTATCTCCCTGTTCCCGAGGCCTGTTGACTGGGTCCATTTGGTCTCTCGGATTAGCCCCTGTGTGCTTGTGTGTCCTGCAGCGGAGTGGGATTCTGTAAAGGCTGTCGCCTGGCCTTGGGTCCCTGTGCTTTCAGGGAAGGCTCCAGGTGGCTACTTCTCTAACCAGGAATAGGTGTCTGTAATGGATGGATGGATTTTCGGGATGTATAATTTATAACAGCTGTTTCATCCCACAGGTTGGTGGCAGTTACGTTGGCTGTCAGATATATTCCAATGAAACACTGGCTTTTCATTAAAGAATAACTTCAAGAATACAATTTAATTTTCTCGTGGGGGGGGGGAACGTTACAAATATACGAGAACAGCCTAATGCATGGCAAGTCAGGCCAATGAAGTAAAAGTTGAATGCTATACCTTCAATTGAAAAAGGTGTTTCGCACTACCATACTGTACTGCAGCTATATTGCAGCTGTTCTTATTAATGCTAGTTATTACGCTGTTAGTGTTTCAAAACGTGAAACACGGCACTCCAACAAGTGACGGAGCCTCTTTTCCGTTCTCCTCTGCTTCTTTCCTGGCGTTTCTATGGTAACTAGTATGAGAAGAACCGGGGTCTGTGTGTGCTGGATGGGGGTGCCCCTGTAATCCCATTAATGCGGCCGGCGTCGCGGATTTCACCTGGTGTGGCCTATTTGTGGGCTGCCAGTCACGTGACGAGCAGCCGTTTCCTGCAGTAGTGTGGTGGTGTTTTTGCCGAGCAGCCGGCTGTCGGTCCTGCTTGATACTCGCCAAGTAAGACCTCGGTACGTCGTAAGTGAACAGGTGAGCCTATTTTTTTGTATCTTGAAGTCCGAAGCCTGACGCGGAAGTGAAGGCTTTTCCGTGAAGGCGGCAGAGAACATTGCAGCTCGTTGTAAGCTGCGTGTGACGCTTAGCTGTGCAAAAACACTTGCAAGGTTTTGTTGCTGGGAAGTTACGTTATGTGAGGAATATGGTTTTTTAAGGGCTGCGAGCTGCTGTATCTGGCGGTTCTGCCTTATTGTACAGACGTTAATGTGCAGAACAAGTGCAGGGCTGCAGAGCGCACTGTTATCTGCATAATGAAGTTACTGTTGATGGCGTGGGTTCGTGCGCCCAGGCTGTGCAAGTTGACCTACTTTTTCTAAGCTACTGCCCTTCATCCGAATGCGGCATTTTGGAAAGACAAAACAATAGCCATGCTATTAAAACGGCAGTTTTAAAAAAATCCGCATGAGAGATTGGAAGAATAATACAATTCATATATCAAGTGTATCTTGATTTTTTTTTTTTATAAAAGGAGATTACATTTCATGCCAGGGTGAACTAAGTTTATTCGATTTTCGAAGAATGCTCCAAGCGAGCGGATCGGAAATCATTTCCACACTCGTAAATCGTTCCCTTCAGGTACATTGAAAATTTAAAAAAAAATGTCAGGTTCCTAGGCAGTAGAAATAAAGGGATGTGTAAGAATCGCATTTGGATCCACGCTCTTGAGATGGCAATGTCCCTTAGCGAGGACTCCTGTTCAGTCCTGAAAGTAGAGAATAATAACAGAATAGTACCAATATTACTGCGTGGGTGTAAAAATGTTGTATAGAATCTTCAAGGGTGACTTCTGTTGCACAGCGATATTAAAATCTATCGTATGTTCAGAGCGGGTTGAGGATTCAGCGTGTGTAGCGCCGCCTCAGGCAAGGGACCGCAACTACAGCAAAACCAGGTGACCATCAGTTTCCTTGAGTTGCTCGTGTTGCTGTCTCAGTGCCCGCAGTGCGACTTGGCAGTTGTTGGAAATTGTTGCAAGTAGCAGTCCTTTTCTTGTGTGAGACAGCAACTGCCTGCAGACTGTAATTGGTCGACTTATTCTCTACAACCAAGCGTGTCCTAATGTGTAGGACTAAAAATCCTATTTTTAGCAGCCATATCACCCTGCAACTCACAACTGGCAGCCCGCTGAAGCTAAGCAGGTGTGAGCCTGGTCAGTACCTGGATGTAAGACCTCCTGGGAAAAACTAAGGCTGCTGGAAGTGGTGTTAGTGGGGCCAGCAGGGGGCACTCACCCTGTGGTCTATGTGGGTCCTAATGCCCCAGTATAGTGACGGGGACACTGTATTGTA